GTTGTTTTGTCTCACCTTCTTCTTGAGGTGGTGGTGCAGCAGCTGCTGGCAAGCCACCTGCCTGTGGAGGCTGGGCCTCTTGTGACGGAACTTGGGCGGGGGTCTTCTGGAGCTTGGGGCCCTGGTCTCCCAATGGAGAATTTAGCCCGTCCAACAAAGTTAGGGGCGGGAGGGCCTTTGCTTGAGCCGGTGGAGGGGCATGCGTAAGAAGAGCTGCGGCCACATCGTAGGGTTGCGTCTCTGCTTCGTTGATGTTCAACGCAGCCTGTTCTGAGGCTTGTGAGGCTGCAGCTCCTGCTCTTGCCCTTCGCTTGGCATCCAGTAGCTGCCTCAGGTGGAAGCTCAGGGACGGACTGCGGCCCCTCAAGCCATACATCTAAGCAACCCACCAAGAAGACAAAATCATAATGGCTAGCCAATGTTCCGGATTTGAAGCGCTCGCTCAGCCAACTTCTTGAGTTGGTCTGGCTCTGATGAAGGGTCTGATGTTGAAGACTGGCAAGAAAACAAGGCCGGAGGTGTTGCCTCAACCACTTTGCCACAAATGTTGCCCTTGTTTGCATTGACGTGATCGGTTGAAGCGCTGTCCTCGATGGCGCTTGTGGCGGCGCTTGTCTCACATTCCATGGGATTGTTATAGGGGTCCTCCGCCGGAAGTATAGGCCCTTGTTCATCATCGGACTCTCCTTTTTCAAAGCATGGGTCATCATCCTCCCCATCATCATCCAAATTGGCGTCCCCGCCAGCGCCCCAAGCAGCGCAAAGGATCTCCATCAGCACGGCCAGGCGGGCGTCCTGAGCGCGGACGGCTTCGGCTTGATGATGTCTTGAAGTGCCGGCAAAATCAGTCAATATGTTACATAAATCAGCAAAGCTGTATTTGACAACCGGGGAGCCCTGAACTTGTGAACTGGTGCCTTCCACCGCCGCAAAAGCAAGGACATCAGCCGTTTGACCCCCCACGCATCGGCGTACCTGCTGGCATCTAGATCCGTAACCGCGTGTGCCTCGAACAGCAAGATGTACGCGGACTTCACCTGTCAGGGGCGCAGGAAACATGTAAAGAGAAAGAGAAGCCCGCGCAGGCTTAAAACTGGATCTGTAAAATTCCTTTCAAGCTAAACAGAAATGGTCCAACGTTTGAGCAATGCCTGCAATTGAAAAAGAGTGTGCTTTGCGTATCAAATTCGGGGGATCAAAAGATCAGCACTTTTGGCCAAGCCTCATGCTTTAACCAGTCCACTGGCGGTGACTTTGGGGTGAGCTGAAACTTGACCCATTCCTCGAGGGCGCATTTCACTACGTCCAAGTTGAGGGTCAAGGCGGCCATGCTGGGGACCCCTTTTGTTTCCTTCCCCTTCTTGATGGGCCAGCGCAGCATCTCCTTGCGAGACCGCAGGTCGCCCCGAATCTGTGGATGATCTTCCCAGCGCTTTGCTAGCCCACCATCTTGCGGCCACAGGACTTTTGCGTCGCCATCCCCGAGCTCTTGAGGCGCGGCATCAGCCATGAAGCGGTAAGGGTGTGACGTTGCAATCGCACGCACCTGAGCTCAAATTGAGCGGCGCATAAACTTATATCGATCGGTCGCTGGAATCACAACAAATTACCGATGGAGCTCCATGCAAGGACAAATACAAGCTGGGCTGACCTCGTCCTCTTGATCGTTGGTCAGAACCAGACCTGCGCACCCAAACGGGTTGAATGGCAAAGCAATCAAATTTAAATGTGGCATCGCTGGCCTCGCGCGGATACTGCCTGTCAAAGAGCAAATTGAGAAAAGGCCATGCGCAAGCCCAGTCGACCGCCCTCTGCCTGCCAGGTCTGAGCGCCAGCACGCCGAGGTTGGTTCCGAGAGCGTAGCCGTACCTGCAAAGAGCAGATTGCCCGTGAAAAAAAAGGTGAGGGTGGGGGGCGCACTTGAAGAGGCCACTGCGGGCAGCAAAAGGGACTTTGAGCCCGATGGGCTCACGGCAGTCTTCAAAAGACATCAAACTCCCTTAACAAAAGAAAAGGGCGAAATCGCAAAAAAATGCCGTTGAACAAAAAAGACTGTTTTTTTTGAAAAGGCTGAAAAAAAACACTAAAACGGCTGCCCAGGTACAGGATTAAGAAGGCCCCCTTTCAGAAACCTTCCCCAAATTTGTAAATACCGACGAACGTTCTGGTTCTCACCGATGGTTTCATCAAGTGGTGCGATTTTCGGATTTCGCAACCAGCCACAGCAGGATACCCTTCTGCAAATTCACCGGGCACCATCGAAGAACCTGAGCCACAATCACCTGAGCCACAATCAAAACCCGGGTAGATGAAGGTTAGTAAGGGACGATCCCAACCATAAATAGCTGCGGCCGCAAGAATTCGGCCATGCACAGTATTAATAGGGCGGGTGGGGGGTGATCCAAAAGTGGCCTGAACCACTCAATCACCCACAAAAAGGGGACACTCCCCGATCAAGATTAACCACGGGTGAATTCATCCGGAGTTCCAATGGGCACTCTCCAGTTCGCACCAGTTGGGATGGATGAATCCCTACAAATAATGACCAACCACTGGCGTCAATCCACAGTACCACTTTTTCCACAAGGGGCATTACAAGCTTATATTGTTGGTATACAAGCATCCATACCAGGTCAAAGGATAAAGACATATACTAACAACAACACTCGTCTGGTAAATTGACCCGGCAAACCGGTGTAAGAGAAAACCCCTGCCTGTCACAAAACATCAACTTCCCCCGCATTTCAACAGCCGACTTGTCTCGAGAAACAGGTGGCCAAACAACCAGGCGTTCAACGCAAGTTTGCCAGTGAGAGCTCGTGAGAGAATTCAAGAGCCACATGGCAATGCACTTTATTGGGACACCCCCTTGTTAATGGTTGGTGGACATATTCACCACCAAAATTGATATCCATTTGATGGTCCCTGAATCATTCAAACTCACACCAAAAAAAACTCGCTCTGCCACTCAAATTTGTCTTCAGCCACCAAAGCTCCAGGAACTAAGGGAATGGAGCAACCAGAACCTGCGAGCTTGGCTTCCCAGCCCCAGGTGAAGGAGGACAAGTCCTGACCAAGAGCTTTTTGACGGCTGGGGTAGCGGCAAAACAGCGAAAATGGCACAAAACAGCTAAATTTGAGTCACGTGGAACCCGAAGATCTGGGATCCAAAGTGTAAAAACGGTTTGCCTCAAATCTTGTGGATTGCCTCAACGCAGGCTCCATTGCATGTTCCACTTGGTGTCCCCTCATTTTTCGCACAGTCTGTTGGCAAAAGGGCAAAAGGCGGTTGACGTCCAGTGGCTATGGGAAAAACACACCGGACCGAAGGTTGTCCAAATTGGGGGACCTTTACATCCCTTCAGGCAGGGGGTGGGAACCGAAAAGGGTCAAAATGGTACCGGCCACATGATGGACAACTCCCCTTTTGTTTTGTTGCAGTTGATTCAGGAAAAATACGCTTGCAACCAAAGGACCTGGAAAATCAAATGTAAGCTTTTGGAGCCTTGACTCCGCTACTAAGGGACCAAAACCAGAGGTCAAAAGGTCGATTGGCTGTAGGCAACTGAGAAGTTGAAGACACGTCACTGGAGGTCTGCGGGCATCAGACACTTCCCCCCAGGCCGCACGTCTCACTCTCGCCTGCTCTTCAAAGCTGTTCAGCCCCTGCGAAGGGCCAAACTGCTGGGTTGCTCAGGGAAAATCAAGCAGAATCCCACCTCTAATCTCACTTCCCAGTCGATTGGCCAAACAGCTCCAAACTGTTTGTTTGGCACTACAAAGATCAAAGTACAAAGTCCGGGAACTCAGGGAGTAAGTCATGTCTACAAATCTGCTTGGATGCGGCGAGCCCTGCAGGCATTGTTACAAGAGTACTACAAGAGTACTAAAGACAACCAACAGTGTGGAATTTACATGGTAACCCCCCGGTTGATTTTTGGTTGAGGGGTTGTCCCATTTGCGATGGGATCCTTCGATTTTGGGGTCAAGCACCAGGTGATCAATGCGTCGACATCAGCCCTTTAGGGGAAACTCTAGTACCGAAATAATGTGGTTGCGCAAACTGGGAGGTTGGCCGCGTTTGGCAGAAAACTCAAACAACATGAAAAATCGACAAGGAAGCACACACTGTGCGCTGCAACACCTTGCACCAAATGTGCATGACGAACTATACCCTTCATATGAGCAACTGACAAATAACTTAGTAGTCTACTGTTGGTTTGTGGAGACAAGGCGGGCTGGGGGGGGTCACCAAAATTTGCCCTTACAAAATAGGCCATGTTTTCCTGGGGAACACATGACGCTGTCCGTAGGTCAAATGCAAGGGCTGCAGTCGTAGCTCTTGGCAAACAACGTCTACGAGCTTATCCCAGACTCATCCAATCCAAATTGTGCATGACGCCATGGGTACCCCAGAAGCAAGTCCTCATAGATTGTTCCAAACCACCAATTCAGGGACACCTGAATAGATGTGGATATGGGTCAAAATTAAACCATCAGGGGACTGCAGGTTTTAGTCCATGTTTCCACTTGCCAGGGCAAGCCATTTTGGGCACCTAGTTTGACCCACAGCCATGTGTTCTTTCCTGTATAGGACATGCCCAAAGTGTCGGAAGGCCAGGGCCGGCTTTCGCCGCGAACCCAAGCCTTGCTCTTGGCCACCTCGCGCACCTCGCCCGGCCGGAAAGGCTCGGCTGCGCGATGTTTGGGCGATTTGGCCCCACAAAGTGTCGCTTCTTGCGCCTGCATCGCTATGGTTTCAGGGGTTGATTCCTTGTCCATTCGTTTTCAACCATCGCTCTTTTCAAAAGCCAGATCTGTTTCCAACCTGGGGTTCTGATGGTTTTCTAGAGGGAAGGATGCCTGGAAAGAATGGGGAAGTGTCCCCTAGAATGGTTGGCACATATACCGGTCTAAACCGAGCATCTAACCAGAGACAATGAGGAACAGGTTTCAAGCCCCAAGCGGGGAAACACACGCATTTCCCGAAAGCAGACGGTTCACAATCCCGAGCAAGTACCCGAGTTCGCCTGGCAGATGTAGCTTTGGGCCAACCAGCAAGGGGTCATCTACATATCTTAGAATTTCGTGGATGCTGAAACTTCCCTAGATTGTTGGACTCAGCTACTAAGTGGTCAAGGGGAAAAAAAAGCCAACACTTTTTACGGGAGGGTCAGTCGGAAAGTCTCCTGGAACCGCATGGCTTACCTCCATTTGCTTAAGCCCCCGGGAAAGAATGAAAATATGTCCAGTAGTGATAGAGTCCCTTTAACACCAAAACGGGGAAAACATATTCTTGAGCAAATGGAAGTTTACAAGGTATTGAGGGCCGGGCACTCGCCAGAAGCTGATGAGACAGCTTGGTCTTTGCGAAGGACCAGGTGAGGTTCGAGATCTCCCGCGCCTGCAGCCTGAGGTTGCAGCCGGGGAGGGCGAAGCAGGGGTCTGGGGGCTGGGCTTGGCCAGGGCTGGACTCGCCAAAGCTCCGCAATGCTGGAGGAGCCGGGTGTGGGTTTTGGCCATGTATTGTATGTCGTCCTGGATGTGTACTGTGGCTTTACATTTGGATACAGGAAGCTCAAAAAGAGAGGGGCACGAAGTAGTACCAAAGGTCCCAGGGATGAAAAGCAGGCAAATCTTGCAAGGCCAAATCAACTCAAGCCATGTTCGGGAAGCGAGAGGCGAGGGAAGAAGGCCTGTTGGAGTTGCCTTTCTTTCGTCTGTAAAGAGACCTGCTCACAGCCGATGTCGACCAGAGATTCTTTGCGTTGGGTTTTCCAGGTGCGATCAATAAGAGGTCTGGACAACTGTGATTTTTTCGGGCCATCCCTGGTGCACAACATATGGCTGCTATGTGGCAGCCCTTTGCGGAAGCTTTAGTTTCTATTTGTGCAGAAGTCAATTGTCAACCCCCCGATCAGGCGCTTAACAGTTAAACCCCACTAAACACTGACTTTGTTCCCCAACACATGGCCCATAGAAAATGACAGAGTGTATTCTAGGCCCATTTTGGGTGATATGGGTGTCTTTTCTTAGTGGAACCCCCAAAACTGAGGTGTTCAAATCGTTTCCCTTGAAAGCCACCAAAAGGGTACCCTCAAAAAAAGACGAGCCACCGATATGCCTCGGGAAACTCCCGTTTCTTTCGGAGTGTCTCTGAAACAGCAACGAGACCCAACAAGGGATCCACGGGTGGGTGAACAATAGATATCTGTGCATTTCCCCTTCCCACTTACCAGGTTGCTATTTTGGATTAACCTGGAGCCAAAAAGAAATGTCATGTCTGGATGAACCCTACCCTCCATCTAACATGGCACCTGACCGGGACCCGTTCCCTTCCCCTTCTGCTTGCTCTTTAGATCTTTTTCGGGTCCTTTTGGGGAGATAAAGAACCCATGGAAACCACCATAGAATCCATGGAAATGTCATGGAAAGTCAAGGAGAACCATGGAAAACCAGGGACAACCCATGAAAACCTATGAACAACCCATGAAAAACCAATGGAAACCCATGGACAACCCATGACAACCCCATGAAAACCCATCAAAAAAACCAAGCAAGCTATCACAAAGTCTTCTAGACATCCGCCAGATCGATCAGAGGCGCCCGGCTGGTCCAGTCGCTTGAGGCTCTCATCGCCGATGCGTTGGAAGAGGTCTTTGGTCTGGCGGTTTGACTCTGCCCACTCCAAATTCCCCACGTCTTTTGTTGATATCGACCCCTTAAAGAAGGGTTGGCATGGGAAACTTCACTTTGTCTTCGATTTGTCACTCAGGATGTCGACGTCCAACAAAAGAAGGGCTACCATTTCCCTGGGGAAATGGCTGTTGCTTGTTTTGTTGTTCAGCATATGCTCGAGAAAAGTGGGGGATTTGGAGTAGGGGGAGGCAAGCAACAGGTGCGTGTTTTTGTTTGAGGCTCGGTACCCTCTTCGCGGTTTTGGGGGAGGTTTGATTTCCGAGGCACCCTCCGTCTGTATAAAAACTCAGTCGCACACAAGAGCTGGAAATGAAAGGTCTCCCAAATGGGTCATGCGCATGACTAATTGACTATAAATACACACATTCCCTTAGTGGATTGGCCAAACAAAGATCCAACCTTTCTCTTTGACGCTACAGTAACATGGTCAGAGAATGAGAAATCTTTGTACCACACGTGTCCATCCCTGCGTGGCTGTTTTGCCACTCTAAAAGGGGGTTCCTTATCACCGAAATTGAGCTTAGGGCCCACATTCCCCACAACCATGACAATGACCTTCTCCCATGGGGTATGTCCTTCCCAGCCCGCTTGCCCAAAGGCCCTGGAACAAAGGGTGATCTGATCATCTTTTTGTGCCCTTGACATTTCCATGAACCAAAACAGGAGAAAACCAAAAGGTCAAATCTGGTCGATTCGCGTTGACTGAATAATTAATTCACCGGGGAACCCCCCTAAAGAAACATTCAGCTCAATGTGGAGGTTGCAAACCCCATCCCAAAGCGGCCTGCTATCCTCGAATTCCCGGTAAAGCCGTGGCTTCTCCGCAGAAGAATGCGCGTCTCGCTGGGTCTCCCCACCCCCACGCCGGCACGGGCGAAGGCCCAAGCAAGCATGGACAGGTTGTTTGGCCTCAGCAGGATCATGGGGACCCAAGTGAGGGCCAAAAATAAAATACGCAAATGGCTATGGGTCAAAACCCCGGGTACCCCCCAGTGAACATCCCGATCCCCAAATAGGTGGTGCACCTACCAACCAAAATGGGATCCCATTGGTGCTTTCACTTTCAGTCCGTCGAGGCGGAGACAGTCCCGACATCAGACAACCTACTCCTACGATGTTGGCTGGAACCGCCTACGAGAATGGCTCTTTGCAGGATTTTGAGGAATTTTGTGCCATTCCCGGATTCTGGGGGATTTTGAAAGACTTTGTTTGGGGGACTTTGGGGGAATTTGGACCAGGGGCCCCACAATGCTTGGACCCTTCCAATCACAAGTTTGCTCAGTCGCCGGTTCTCTCGGACTTCATACGTTATAAAACAACTACAGTGAGGATCTCCTGAAGAGAATGGGGATACTGAATACATATATATATATATGGTCACCCCCCCCCAAGGCATGGAGGTGTGTGAACTTATATATATATATATATATATGTACACATTATGCTACCTCCCAGGAGTACTCACGTTTTGGGCTGCTTTTTGTTGCCTTGATTCAGACTTTCTGCCAGATGTGAAAAAAAAGGGGGCACCATGTGTATACATATATTCCCCCGCTAAAAGTTTAACTTCCAGTCGGTTAAATTGGGAACCCAACCACTAAACACTAAAAAGCTAACCAAGGAACCGGATAGCTGGGAGCCACCAAGAAGATACGCTGCTTTCACCCGTGGTTTTCGTGTCTAGTTCCCATGGCATCTGGGGGCTGGTTTCGCCCTCTGGCCACCTGAGGGCCCAGCTGGAAGCTCGCCAGTCGGCTGCTCGCCAAGTCCTGCGTCAAAAGCCCGCAGCAAGAGAAAATTGATGAAGAAAAACTGGCTGGTCGAACATAGGTGCCCAAAATGGCTTGCCCTGGGAAGTGGAAACATGGACCAAAACCTGCGGTCCCCCGGTGGTTTAATCTTGACCCATACCCAACTCACTTCCTGAGTTGATTGGTCGGATAAAAAGTCCCAACTTTCTTGTTGACCACATTGAAATGGTCTTCCCAAGAAGTGTTCAAGTCCAGGAACTCAGGAAGTGAGAGAAGAAGAAAACAAAGCGAAGAACAACCAGGGCTCCATTCATCCATCGACATGGCGCTGTTGAACAACCAGGGTTCCCTACATGTCCCTTTTGAACATCACCCACCAAAGGGAAACTTGGATATGTGTTGCCATGCTAGAAAGTTGTTGGTAGCCTAGGTTTCCCACTTATGAGCCCCCCCGCGCCCTTGGTTAATGTGGGGTTAGCCTTGTTCTTGGGAGGTGATAAACCGCAGCTGGCTAACTACTAACTTGGCCACAAACATCCAAGAACAGAACAGTAAAGTCATACTGTCAAATTCTGGCGGCAAGCATTGCCGCTCCTTGTATTACCCACCCAGTTGCTTCCCACAGGAACACTGTGCACTTTCATTGATTTGTCCATGGGGATCCAAGACCATGCTTGCGGAAAACCGACCTTTCTGTGCTACGAACATGGGTCATTCCAATTGCTACTTTCTCACGTGGCCCTGTCATACCGTATAAGTTCCAATTCCATGTCCTCAGAAAGCAACCCCAACACAAGTGCAGGACAAAGGCACTCGTGCGCTGGCAGTTGGTTTGCAAGAACCTCCCCCCCTCGCCAATAAAAAAGGAACGGCAACAGCACCACTGGTGGTTTAGGTTTACTTTTAGTTTCCCTGGATGGCTAATCTGATCGAAGCGTCCTCGCATTGGGCGAAGATGGCGTTCATCCGCTGCAAAGCCTGCGATACAAAAGCGGAACCGCCGGAACAGCACAGCAGCTCAGCTTTTATGCCGAAGCAAACAACAGCTCAGATTCAGGCACCACTCTTGCAGTCATTGGCACTTTTAAGGTCCTCCTGAGAGAAAACATCTCTGATTCAGGCCAATGTGTAATAATTCAACCTTAAATTGAAAGTACAATAAGTTCAACAAACACATATCCGGTAATGTTCACCCAACAAGGCAGGGGCTGCAAAGGTGTTTCTTTTGTAGCCCTGCTAATCCATTTACCTCAAAGTCTGCTAAGGCTTACCAACCACTCACCAAGTAGCCGATCACCTCCCTGGAGTAAGGAAGCCTTTGGCCTTAGCTTTCCGATTCTCGTTTAGCCCATCAAGCATGAGGAAAACCGAGTCTTGGTGGCCGTTGACCCCTCTGCACAAAGCTTCCTTTTTTTGGGTGCAATGGAAAATCCGCTCTTTCCCAAACAGTTGTAAAGTCCCAAGATCCGGAGCCGAATCGCCATAAAGGATTTGGGCAGAGGGCAATGTCTGGGTTGTGTAGATTCCTATGCGCCCACTTTGCAATTCTGGACACAAATAAAGACCTATGAAATACGGTAATCTTGCTTTCCAGCCCAGACTTGAAGTGGTCCGATGGGAAACTAGTAGTTGCTTTTCGCGTGAAGCCCCTCAAAAGAAAGAAAAAGCAAGAAGCCCCGTCGGTCTGGGAAGAAAAGCCCGCAAGCCCAATGTCATGTTCAGGCACGGCAGCTGGGATCCGTTCGTCTGCCGTCCGCGGCCATCCGTGGCCCAAGCTTGGATAAAAATTGACCCCAAATGAATAAACCCGTCCTAGCTCTGGGGGGCGGAAACCGTCGAAAAGCGGGTTCAGACCACTGTAAGGGGACACTCCCCTGATCAAAGATCAACCGGAGGGTATCTTTCATCCCGGGCTCCCATTCTACCCAACCAAATCGATATGAAGTGTTAAAGACTCCCAATTGTTGGGTAGAAGAAAGGGAACCCGGGACGAAAGATATCCTGTTGATCTTTGATCAGGGGGGGAGTACCAATGCTAGGAGTACCAATTTCCAAAGGCTGGTCGCCAAAACACGAACCGGCGCTTCAATCGGCTAAGAACGGCCCGAAGCCCAGCCTTTGGGCTGAGTTGGGGCTGCCACTGGGAAAGGCTCGCCAGAGCCTCGGATTTCCAGCTCAAAAAGGCATTTAAAGGAGGGTGGCTCTACAACCCTTGGTATGGTACTAGCTCCTCCAGTGGAGAGGTTAGAATAAGGGTACCCGATTTTTGTCTGTAGTCTATTTTAGTAGGGAAACCCTCCCCAAAAAAAGGGTGAAAGGGCACCGCTGGGGGATCTAGGGTAGCAACAAACTTTGTTTTTTGCAGCACCATACTCAAAATGAGCAGAACCAATGCAAAAGTGGGAAGAACAATCCCCGAATTCTGTCCAGAGAATCCCGAACTAAAGCTCACGCCGAAATCTACAACCCCTGATGGACCGTCGCTCATTTCTTGTCCGAAATCTAAAGGACAACAAAATTAATATGCTCGGAGTCTAGGCCCGTTTTCATGTCCATAGTAAGGCATCCTCAAAAGAGCGGGTGCGCTGAGATTTTGCAACCGGTTTCATTTGGATCCAAAAGTCAGAACTTCGTGACCCAAAGCAAAAAGTTCGGGGAGCTTGTGATGCAGGGCTCCTAGAAATCAGGCACACATACACACACACACACACACACACGGTGACTCTATTTCCCTGTTTACCTAGATCCCCAGTTGCCTTTATTTTCCAGCTACTTTGACCAAATTATGGCCTACTAGTGGGTAAAGTGGCTGGAAAAAAGTGCCTACTTGGGGTTCCAGGTAGGTACCAAGGGAACCGCCCTTTAAAAACGAAAAGAGAAATGGCGATTGCCTTCAATAGTGGTACCTGGGATCCACCAAGACTTGCTCGTGAGACTTGCTTAGTCGGACATGCGCTTTTGTGGAAAACCACAAATTGGAAAAACCACATGTCGCGAGTCAATCCCTCTTGTGAAGACGGCGATATTGTGTCAACGTTCTCCTTGTTTCAGGGCTGCTTCCTTCCGACCCGATAGACCCTTTACTACCCAAGTGGACCTCGAGAAAAAGACATCTACGAAGGAACATCCAATACTCCAGTGGAAATTGACCGAACGCCAAAACGAACAGGAGGTCCTTGAAAAGAAGATTCCGATTTTAAACATGTGGGGGAAGGTTTGGGTTCCGGGGGAGAAGTTATATTCTACCCAAAGGTTGGGGCATTGCTTTGAGCTTGGGAGTAAGCCTGTCAAAAGATTGCGGAACAAGGGAAACTCACCTTGGTGACAACAAGACCAGAAGGGACCATTTGAGCAAAGCACATTTTTTGGGCTGTTCACTTTAACAAGATTCCAAAAGGGTAAATCTTGGCCAAAATAAAGCCAACCTTTGCCAGCTTCAAAGGATTTCTGCCTGTATGTGACTTTAGGTGTCTCCCAAACCGAAGCTACCCCAGAAAAGTGGTAAGGGATCCCTGTGATATGAAAGAAACGTTGCACCCCCCCCCCCGGAAACAAGAAGAAGTGCTGTCGCCTACTTGCCCAGATCGTCATGGTTCTCCCAAGAGAAATCCTTCTTGCGGTTCTCCAGCGATGGAGTAGTTGATCAAAGCAAGGACACCGTGGAAAAAGCAGTGCAGGGGCCTCCACAGCGCCCCACACTCAAACGTTGAGCGGATTCGCCACAAATGGCTCCAGCAACATGTGTTGTTGTTGCCAAAATTTGGCAACCACACCCCAAAAGCGACCTTTTTTTTGTCCCGAAACGAACCTCGCGGAATGAACCTGAGACCTCCTGGCAGCCAGGCCCAGGAGGTGGTGGCGAGGTACCGGGTTTCGTGGCCCAAGCCTCAGCTTGCTGGTGGTTTGGGCTGCCGGGATTTGCCCAAAGCAAAAGTTGATCGATTTACTGGCGGCGTCCCTTGAAAGGAGGAAACTCGTGCCAAGAAAAGATATTGATGAGGAACAGGGCTGCCGGAACTTCCCCCAAATCAACGGTTATTGATCAATTTACTGGTGGCGTCCCTTGAAACGATCGCCACTTTGGAGGGTTCCAAAAACCTGAAATGGAGGCAATTTACTGGTGGCGTCCCTCGAAAGGAGCTGAAACCCTGATGTGCCAACGAAAGATATGAATTGGCGAGTGGATGCACAGGGAGAGATTCTCCATCTGGCACAGGAACCTCTTCCTTCGTCAGGATTCTTTGAGGCGCTTCGCTCTACCAGTAGGAAAGGAACCGGTGGCAGAGGGAAACATGTCACCCTTAACCTCCTAAGGATATTTCCAGCAGAAAGGTAAGGACTGAGAAGGAGGGACGGCACTTCCATATCCATGCCACCCTCGTCCCTTGGCATCTTTACACCGCCAACAGCGGTGAGATGCCAAGAGATAGGACCAAGGAATCCATCACACCCACATAGAGAGTCTCTGTATCTTCGTAATCAAGGGTGTGATGTCCATTCTCCTCCAGCGCTTTCCCAGTTGATGCTCTGCATCTTGCCTTCTTCACGTAATAATCCTGGATGAAATGGTGATGGACAGAGATGGGAATTTGATTTCCAGGAGTTATTATTGACAGGTTTGCAGTGGAAATCCCATCCCCTTCGAGCCTGCCTACCCATCCCTTACATCCGTCCCATTCTCCAGTCTCATTTGGACGGAGCGGAGAGATGTTGGGATGGGTCTCCCTTTCCCTTTCCTTTCAAGCCCTTTCTGTGCAAAGAAAAGAGCAAAATAGTGATGGGCCTTGAAACAAATGGGAATTGCTGAGAAAAGATCTCTTCTTTTCAGGGTCCCTCTATCTTTTGGGGCAGCATTTCCCTTTCCCCCAGATAGGTCCGGACGTCCAGCGCTTCTCCACGATGAAGCTCTGGAGCCAAGCTCTTCGTTGCCGCAGAATGAGTTTGTATTAAGATCTTGATAGGAAGGAGCTGGTACTCAGGTTCTTTAAGGTCCCATTTGGGCAGAGTATATACACCCCCAAACTACCCAATAGTTAAAATGATGGCATATCCCCACGAAAAACTAGCAAGCCAAATTTACAAAGATCGCCACATACTCGGGGTTCCTCGACGGTCTGAGAGCTGTCTAGTGATCCGACTAGGGACCCCTCGGAATCCCGAGTCTCCATACTTTGGAGCCGAAGCCCTTGAAAGCTGTCCAGACCTGAAATCAGGCACCCCCCTGAGTCGTGGTTTGCATTGGCTTGGTGCTTCAGGAGGGGTCTCCTAAGCCTCTGCAAGAACCAGGGTTTCAAATCCCCAACCCAGGCTCCAAACCGCCAATGTTGAACCAAAATACAGCTCAACCCAACCCAAGACCCACCCGCAAGATCAAATCCAGCCTAAACCCACGACTCATGCCAGTTATTGCTGGGGGCCAAAAACAAAAACGCAATCCTGGCGATGGCTTAGCGCATTGCTGGGGGACAAAAACAAAAACGCAATCCTGGCGATGGCTTAAAGCATTGCTGGGGGGGGGGGGTCTGGGGGAAAAATACACAAAACAAACGCAATCCTGGCGATGGCTTAAAGCATTGCTGGAAAACAACGGGAAACAAAAACGGGGAGGAAAAAAAGGAAAGAAGAAAAAAACACGGAGAAACAAAAAAAGAGGAAGAGACCACAAAAAAACGGCACCCGATGGCTCCGAGGCGCTGGGCAGCTTCTGCTCCAACAGCCCCAGCAGTCGCTGCAGCTCCGCGTCGCCGAGCGCCTCGTTGCCGCCGAGGCCGCCGCCGCCGCCGCAGTTCGCGGCGGAGGTCCAGGAGTCGCGGTTGCAGCGCCTGGCGCCGAGCGTCGCGGCGGAGGCGCCCAGTGGAAAGGCCCCCCACGCCGAACTTCGCGGCGGCGGAGGCGCCCATTGGAAAGGCCAATGTCCCCCGCCCGGAGCCCGGAGCCCGGAGCCCGGAGCCCGGAGCCAGAGCGTGTTCTCGGTTGCTTTCTGCTCTGCGAAGAGTGTTTAACTGTTAGTGGTTTAATGGAAGACCCAGTAGTTGGCAAAAACTCAAAGTTCTAACATCCGAGACATGCACCTAAGTTTTGGTTGGTGTCTGTCGAAGGATGTGTCTTTTCTCGGAAAACGAACACTTCTACAGTACTTTGGCTTGTTGACTTCGTTTAGACCCACCAAAATAGATCATGCAGTTGTAAAGAAAGGCTACCACCCTCGGCAGATCCACTCACTCGAGTTCATGAAGCTTTTTCTGGCCACTCCCATTTGTCATGGTTTCAAGCTCACCTGACATGGGCTAAGGACCAAAGGAGGCTAGAAACCAATTTGCCACCCTTGAGAGCCCGAAAGGTCATGTTTGTCCTGGCTCAAAAGGAGAATACAAGGAGACCCAACCTCCCCCTCGTTTTTCGGAGGGTCGGATCTGCTTGTCCTCGTTAAAATCCGAAAGTCGGCCACAGACTGACTAGGTCCTCCAGTAGAGAGGTTGGAATAAGGGTACCCTTTTTTTCTGTAGTCTACTTTGGTAGGGGGAACCCTCCCAACCAAAAAAGAAATGGCTCCAAGGGCACCTAGCTGGGGGACCTAGACCCATTTCTAGAGGAAACTCGTTCCTTTTGGGACATGGACCCCACTCTTGGGGCTTCGATCCTCCCGTTTCGGCTGGCGGAAACCTAGCTGGGGGACCTAGCTGACCAGTCGAGTCGAGGCGCGCCAGAGCGTGAAGCCCAGCATCCAGGTCCTCCACCTTGACCTGGAAGCTTCCCTCGAAGCGCCGCAGGGCGGCGAAGACCAGCGCCGGCTGCTGCCTCGCTCCGCTCGATCTGACTTTTGTGGATCCCGTTCTGACTTTGCGATCGGGTTGCCACCTAGGTCCTCTAGATTTGAGAGTTTAGAATAAGGGTACCAACGTTGTAGTCTATTTTAGTAGGGGAACCCTCCCCCAAAAAAAGGCAAAAGGGCACCACTGGGGGACCTAGCCACTTATGGGTCAAAATTAAACCACCCAGGTTTCAGTCCTTGGCTTCAATTCACCAGGGATCCGAAACGACGTTGCAATCGGTTGAGCCACTGATTGGTCAAAACAAAATGAAAACCACCGGGGTATGGACCGCAGGAATTTGTCCTTGGTTCCAATTGACCTAAGTTCCACCTTGGGCACCTATTTTTTGACCCACAGCCACTTGGCTCTTCGTTGTCAAGTACGGTAACCATTCGGGCACCCCCAGTCCCAATGTGGTGTCTTCAGTGCTTCCTCCATGGAATCGCAAGATCATGGAAGCCTGCAATGATGTTTTGTTTTTGGCACTCGAAGGCTTATCAGCATGCTCATTTATGTTTGCTATTTCTCTCTTGCTTGCTTATTCATGTCTTTCTTCCTTCCTTCCTTCCTTTCTTCCTTCCTTCGTGCCTTCGTGCCTTCGTTCTTTCCTTCCTTCCTTCCTTCCTTCCTTCCTTCCTTCCTTCCTTCCTTTCAGTTTTGTATTTAGACTCCGGGAGTGAGACCATGGGTCTGCTTGGTGAGACCCTTTGGTGCTACGACAGCATCTGGTGGTCAGATCTTCAATGGAAAGGAGGCCTTCTTGCAATCGCGATCTGGTATGTTCGGGTGCTCTACTTCGGTATTTGCTATTTGCTAAAACACCTCTTCAGTATGCTTGAAGCATTTTTGAAACCAAGGATTAATGTCAGAGGGTCCCTGGAAGAATGCCATTGGGTCAGCCCAATGGACAGAGGATTTCCTTGAGCAGGTGCCACATCTGTACTCTGATACACTTTCAGATTCTGTCGCATATATAGTCTACCCCAGCAAAAATAATAGTTTTGGGGGCTCGTCCCCTACACTGGCAATCTAACATGACCTGTTCGCACAATTTGAGGCGAAATATTGGGCACCCTAGGGGGGCGAATCTTGGACATCATTTGCTGTGGGGATGCATGCCCACCGACGTAGTTCCTTTCATGAAACGAGTAGCCATACGTAGAACTCTAAATGGCCCCAGAGCATAAACCATGTAAAGAGTTAAAAGGGTGGTACCAAATTGTTTGGCTGGGGTTGTCCCTAACCTAGGCCCTCCAGTAGAGAGGTTAGAACTAGGGTACCCGATTTTTCTCTGTAGTCTATTTTAGTAGGGGAACTCTCCCCCCAAAAAAGAAAGGGCTCCAAGTTGGCACCAATCGCTGGGGGACCTAGTAACCGTCCGGGCTCTGCTTGTGGCCCCCTAACCTCTATCGAGCAGCTTGGCAGAGAGACCCGCGAGCTCCTTGTGAAAGGCGCTGCTGACATAGTTCCTGAATCGACATTGGGGGCGTTGCGGCAAGGGGGGAAGCGTCCACGTCCATTCTGAACCCAAAAATCCGCAAATATTTTTCAGGAATTCAAGAAAAAACAGGTTGCGAGCAGATCTGGTTTTTGAAGAGAACGATGGTGCAAAACATGGGGAATCAAACACACAGACGTCTCAAGACACCAAATGCGGGGACTCCGAATGGGGGTCCCGCGTTTTCCTCTTGCCCATTCAAAAACAACACAACAACTGGCACAAAGGGTCTCAACAAAAAAGAAGCAGAGCCAAGGGAGGTCTCAAGACAAATCCGAGACCCCGAATGCAGAATGGGTGCCGTTTTCCTCTCGCCCATCATTTGACAGAAAAACAACACCTCCAAACGTTGACAAGCTGAGAGGATCCGAATCAAGACTGGAGTCTCTTCGGGAACCTTTGGTGAGCTGTGGAAATCCATCGGAACAGTCTCGGCACGCTGTTTGGTCGTTGATTTCGGGCACCACAGCACGAAGACAGGAAGCTCAATTTGTTTCACCCGGGTGTTTCTCCACATAGGTGTACCCCGCAAATGGCGCATTTTCCCTAAAAGAGCTTCCCATGAGTTTCCCTTTAGAAGGGGTACGCTCCTACAGCTTAACATGGAACCCAACAAAAACATCATTCTTAGAGGAAACTCCCTTCGAAAACCCCCCTTTGGGGGTTCCATGTTAATTTCAGCTTGCCATGAAATTGTGTCTTTGATCCGCGATGGTTTCCCATCTCTCCACAAGAAGCAGGGCTTCAAAATCCAAATCCAAACCAATCCAAGCCACGAAGTGAGGGTTCCCCGCCGCAGGGAAGTGCCCGCCAAAAACTTGCTGGAGCCCAGGCAATGACCGCGACCGGGTGCCAGGAAGGAAGCGAAGAAGGCCATTCCAGCTCATTCCCTGCCTCCCTGCCTAGAGAAAACCAGCAAGCAAAACACATATCTGCCTGGTGAGCTCAAATTTGGGGGTTGATCAAATCCGCAAGACATCGGGCAACCCTTCGGGACACCAACAAAAACAGATGGCGTTCACCCCTAAATGTTGGCTTTGTGTATGGCTTTCACCCCTATAGGATGGCATTTATGTATGGTTCTCACCCCTGAATGATGACAGTTCCCCATGGTCATTGTGGGGCCGAAGGAAAGATTGACGGCGATGGGTCAAAATCCCGTACTGCCAGTGAACATCCCACTCCCCACCAAGATAGACTAAAATGGGTGGTGCACCTACCCCAAGCAAAGCTGTCACCTAATCTGCCAATGCAAGCCTTGGGGTTGAAAGCGGGACCCACAGCCACCCCCCATCTGTGAAGCCAGCGGCGTCGGTATCGCCTTCACCGGAGGCGGCGAAGGCGGCGGCGGAGCGACCACCGCCAGGCGCAGACACCGGCGCCGCATGGCGTCTTCCGCGTCCGCGCGCGCCGAAACAACTCGGCACCACCAGGGCCCCCGAAGGAGTAGAACCCCAGCGGTCTGGTGGTGACAATTTTGACCCATACCCAAAAAAGGGACCAGCTGAACCTAGCATGTTCTTCCAGAACTTTGATCGATAGCTCCCAAAGCTAACAGGAAAACCACCTGCTTGGGGGGTCCCCCCCAAGAAAAAAGCACACCCATATGGCAACACTGTTGCCGGCGAGTTGGTGAGCCTTTCGAAATGCTCTGGGACCCAGAATTTTCCTGCGGGCAGGATAGTTGGCTGAGGCCGTGTTCAGTTGGTTTGGCTTCCGCTGGAGTGTACTTGCGGATGGGGTTGGCTTCATGCGTTCGGCAAATCCTTTGGGAATCCGACTCGAGCAAAGCAGCGAACTGTCAACAGAGATCGCGGCTTCCGTCGGGCGTGCGCAACTCTTGCAATGGAATCCAGCCCCATCTAAGGGCTGCGTTTTCCCTAAAGTTTCTGATATCCAGGACTGGGTGTTTTTTTTCACCTGGTTCTGAGGGAATCAAAGCACAGTTCGGAATGAATGAGCGGAGGGGATGGATGAAACCTGACCTGAATAGTGGTTGCCACCAACACCACCTGGTGCCGATCGGCGCGGAATTCGTCCAGGGATCCACAAGGAGAGCAGCAAGGGCTGGCATGGGAGGCATGCCTTCCCTTGAGAAAGTTGGGACAAGACATGCGCGACCCCCTCATCGGTTTGTTTGACATCCACAAGGTTTTCTTGTCTACAGCAGGCCTCTGTTTTTAGTTTCCCCCTACCCAGGTTGATTTAGTAGCTGGTGGTTGAGGGAGCTCCCAACATGGGATGGGACTTGGTCATCAGGTTGCTTCGAGCCTCTTCAATATGACCGCGCCTTCAGTGTGGTAAATGATTGTGTTTGTTGTGTGGTTTCCCTTTGCTGCGTAGAATAGGGGCTGAACAAGCATTCATAGTTTGACAAACCATGGTTTCTAAGTACCCCTTAGATGGATTTCCCACCCTGCCGATCCGGTCTTAGCAACTCTGATGATTCGGTGGGGGCTGCGAAACCAAAAGCAGCTCGAGGGCCGTTGAGGGCCTCTTGGATTGACCAGCAGCGCCCAACGACTGCGTTTTCCTGTGTCCTGTCCAACAAGAATCCACCGGGTCCATAGAGAAACCTCGCCGCTCTCGGACGAATTTTAGACCCTTGGGCGGGGGGCCCTTGGAGGTTCATTGCCTAGTGGCTAGCCACTTGGGCTTTCTCATGTTCAAGGTGAACCTCGGTTGAGTTGGCAACGAACCCCTAACAAGGTTTGGCAACGAACGCCAAATCAAGGTGCTTCCCCTAGGCCAGTTGAAACTCTAGGGGTTGATTCCCCATTCTTTTCAACCATCGTTCTTTCCAAAAACCGGATCCGTTTTCCACCTGGGTTTCCGGAGGTTCGCTGGAAAGAAGGATCCCTGGGCTCAGAATGGAAATGGAAGGTACCCCTAGAGGAACAAGCCCCTTTCCGTGGCGATCTCACCGCTCCCACGTGCACGTTTCGCTTTGCGCCTGGGCTGGGTACAAAGCACCATGAACTTCTCCTCCTCGCGTTCACCGATCCACGGTTCCCACCCCCAAAACCCTCCGGTGGGACCAGAAAGTGCAATAGGAGATCGGATATAGAATCACTAAAAGGTATGAGGTACACACCCCGATTTCTTTTGGGGGTAGTGATTTCGGGGTGGTGGCGGCACAACAACCTTTTTCCAAGCGTTCATAGAATTTGGTGCTTTGTTGATCCGTTGCTCAGAGTTAAGATTTAGTGGGACATGCGGTGATGCAATCTAAACTCTAAAAGGCCAAACACTCTAACAGTATGCATGGCTGAGCTGGGAACTGCCAACAGAAACCAGCTAAACGGGCTGTCGTCAGATCCCCTGCTACAAAATTTAGCTTTTGGCGGGTTAAAATCGGAAACCCAACCACTAAACCAGCCAACAAGTTGTAGAAACCAAAGGAACTGGATGGCCGCGAACCGCCAAACTACAGGAGATTCTACAGGAAGTTGGCCACGGTGTTGATGCTGGGTGGTTGTCCAGCTTCCTGAGGAAAGGGCCCGAGAGCTGTGGCAAAGGGGCCAAATGATTCCAAGCATGCTTCGTAGTTCCTACTGCGAATCTCGTTGGTGACTGGCTTCATCCATGCAGTTGACCAGCAGTTGTCTGCTGTGGATGGACAAAATCCACGCCGATCGGCACCAGTTGGGATGAAACAAACCGAGAATAACTGGTATATCCCACTCCCAGCTGGTGCGAAGTGGATTATCTAATCTGAGGTAATTCATGCTGACCCTGTCCCGGATTATTCTTTTTTTTGAAACGCCCTATCAATTGGGGGGGGGGGTTGGCTTGAAAAGTGAAGGATGCACACTGGCACGCCTATTCATCAACCCATGCAGGGAATGAAACTCCGGGGGTCTCATTCTTCAACCAACTGGGCAAAATGCTTCAATTCACCTAGGTCCTCCAATAGAGAGGTTAGAAGAAGGGTACCCTTCTTTCTGTAGTCTATTGCAGAAGGGGAACCCTCCCCCCCAAAAAAAGGTAAAAGGGCACCACGGAAGGAACCTAGTCACGAAATGGAGAAGAGGAACCAAGGGACCTTCAGGGGTTGCCCTTGTTGGGCCCATGTTCGAAACATAAAAGGGAGCATGTATTTGTCAGAAAGTAAAAGAACCGGCTGATTCTCAGCAGGGAATAGGAGGGCGGGTGACACACATAAACCATCCCCTATGGTTTCCTTGAAGGGAATCCCTAGGTTCATTGCAAAAAATCTGGGTCATTCCCTAGTGGCCCTAGTGCTACTGCTCACCAGCAAAACAAATACGAAGACAGTTCTCCCATGATCATGAACTCCGCAACATTCTAGTCATTTGGAAGTTGATAGTGCCATGAAGATCGCCAATCTCCGCCCAATTTGGGGCAACAAGGAAAGAGGGTTCTTTGTTGGCAGTGCAGCCCGGCAGCCCCTCTTTAGACACTTCACTCGCCACAGGGCTGAACGTAACAGGTGGCAGAGGGACCCAGCCTGGCCACTTCAGGGGCCAGCCTTGTGTTAGTCCCATGAGATAGTCGCAACACGTCCAGTTACTCAAGATATCTCAAGACTAATTAAACATGACCAGAGAAGCCATTCATGACCATTCCCCTTGAACCGGGAAATCAAATCCTAAATGGATACCAGAACGCAACTGGGTGTGCAATTTGGTGTTTTCTTGCAGACATCCAGTTGGTTGCCTTTTATAACGCGAGACCCAAAGAGATCAAAGCATAGCATTTGGGGGGGGGGTCCAACCAATTGTGCGACAAAACCAAAATCACGAAACGCAGAAATTGGGGCATTGGGGCCAAACGGAGGTCGGGGTTAACATCTGAAACAGCATGCCGAACCAAGCTGACGTACCATAAACCCCGCAGGCCGGCAGCAGAATGTTTTGCGACAAACAGTCAGAATACGAACCAACCAACCAATCATCAACCGACCAAAAACTGCAAACGCAAAAACAAAAAAGCAAACGGGAAAAAAAGGGGGGGCGGGGAAAAACACGCAAATGCAAAAAACAAAACAATCAAGCAATCAAGCCAAGTTCAGGGACAACGCAGTCCCAAAGGAACTGAGATGTCTCCTTCTTGACGTTGCCAGCCCGCCGCTGCTCAAAGTATTCCTGCGCTAACCAAGCCGACTGGATGGCTGCTCCGGCTCTGCAACATGCACAAGTGCCTCAAACGGCTGTGGTTGTCAAAACCAATGGTACCAGGGTAGGTGCACCACCCATTTTAGAACCTATTTTAGTGGGGTTTGGGATTCTCACTGGGTGTACGACTTGGATTTTGACCCATGGCCAAATATACAGAGGGCCTTTTCGCAGGACATCCAAATCTATTTGCAAGAGTCCCTGTCGACAAGCCTGGGCAAAGAACACGGTACCAATTGGGAAAACACCCAATTACTGTCGACACGAAATCATGTCTTGTTTCAGCAGGAAACTTCAAAGTAAAACCAAGCATCGTGCAATCGATTCAAGGTGTATCTTCTGGAAGAAAACACAAAACACACCCTACCACCGGCTAACGCAAATTTGGATCCTCCCTGAAGGTGTTCGCTGCTTGTTGTTGTGGTTGTGGCTGTGGGTTGTGGTTCTGGTTGTGATTGCGGTTCTTTGGTGATCGTTGTTGTTGTTGTTGCTGCTGCTGCTGCTGTCGTTGTCGTTGTCGTTGTCGTTGTCGTTGTCGTTGTCGTTGCTGCCGCTGCTGTCGTTGCTGCTGCTGGTGCTGCTGCTGGTGTTGTTGTTGATGTTGCTGTTCTTGCTGTCGCTGTTGCTGATGCCGTTGCTGTTGCTGTTGCGGTTGCGGTTGCTGTTGATGTTGTTGCGGTTGCTGTTGAGGTTGTTGCTGCTCTTGCTGTTGCTGCTGCTGCTGCTGCTGTTGCTGCTGCTGCTGTTGCTGCTGCTGATGCTGCTGTTGCTGTTGCTGTTGTTGTTGTTCTTGTTATTGCTCTTGTTCTTGTTCTTGTTGTTGTTGTTGTTGTTGTTGTTGTTGTTGCTGTTGCTGTTGCTGTTGCTGTTGCTGTTGCTGTTGCTGCTGCTGCTGCTGCTGCTGCTGCTGCTGCTGCTGTTGTTGTTGTTGTTGTTGTTGTTGTTGTTGTTGTTGTTGTTGTTGTTGTTGCTGCTGCTGCTGCTGCTGCTGCTGCTGCTGCTGCTGCTGTTGTTGTTGTTGTTGTTGTGGTTGTGGTTGTCGTTGTCGTTGTCGTTGCTGCTGCTGCTGTTGCTTTTGCAGTTGTTGCTGTTGCTGTTGCTGTTGTGGCTGTTGTTGCTGCTGCTGTTGTTGCTGGTTGTTGTTGTGGTGGTTGAGTTTATGGCTGTGGTTGTGGTGGTGGTGGTGGTGGTGGTGGTGCTGCTGCTGCTGGTGGTGGTGGTGGTGGCGCTGCTGCTGCTGCTGCTGGTGGTGGTGGTGGCGCTGCTGCTGCTGCTGCGGCCGCCGCTGCTGCCTGTGGTGATGCTGCTAATGGTGTTTGTTCATTGTCTGCCAAGGGAAAGTTTCGCCGTCGAGACTGCCGACACCGTGCGAGGAATCCGACAGCTCTTGCAAATGACAAAAGCTATGCCCCACGAGCAAGAAGCTAATGAAAGACCAAGCTAATGAAATCCGAAGCAGATCAGCTAA